GTCGCCTGGCTGTGACGTAATCGGCCTTCAAATGCGGCCTCCGGAGGATGCAGCCGACGTTTTGGGACACAGCTCACGTTGCTAATCAGTAATACAGATGTTTCACAGATGTTTCACATTTCTGAGTATGAAATGTGAAACATCTGAAGCAGAGGTGGCATGCATAGTTTCACATTTAAAAACAACAACAACAAACAGAAAACAAAACAAAACAAATATCCAAATTGAAAAGCACAAATACCTACACAATGACCGAGTATCTGAGAAGGTGGCACTTGTGCACAGCTCTACTAAGCTAGGTGTGTGTGTGTCTGTATGGAGGATAGGCTCTGGTGTCGGCCTTGTAGCTCTGATGAGGTTATATGCATTAGTCTTTTTAATAGGGTTAGTGCAAACCTACCATCCCACCACAATAGAGCAGCAATTTTCTTTAATTATATTTGAGACCAGTCCATTATTGTTGGTGATTTCAGATATCTTAGCACACCAGAAATCAAAAGTTGAGAAGAAGAAACAGAAAGAAGAAAACAAAAAGGGTAAAGAATGGAAAAGAACAACACGGGACAGAGAAAGGAAGAGACTAAGCTAAACAGCAGACTCTAACGTGCAGCATGACACTGTACTGCCTGTCGTTTCCACCTGCAAATGCAAAATTCAGGGAAACTCCGGGCAGTACAGTGTGCACGAGCTGCACTGGAGGTTTGGAGGAGCCTGCGTGCACAAAACTGATGGGAAACTGTTCTGGGTGGCTGCTCCCATCCCTGGAGCAGGGGCTGGACAGGGAGAGTGGGGAGGGGGTGCAGGTCCATGAGATGGGAGGCAGCACAGAGTAAACCAAATCTCGCCAATGACAACAGTGAGGATGGGGAAAAAATGAAGAAAACAAAGTACTGTTCAGTCAAACAACACAGGAACATGACGGAAATGGTAAAACAAGCTAGCTCTATGAGAAAAACAAAGTGTGTGAAATATATTTGAGATTTAGTCCAGACTGAAGTTGACTCGGAGTTGATCAAACATTAACCCTCTGGGGTCCAAAACAACTGGCTGTTTTTGACTACTTTTGATTTTACGTCTACATTTCCCCTTTAAACACGGTTTATCTTGCCTGTTTGGCATCATTCTTTTCAGCAATCTACTAGAGCTGCACGATTTTGCATAAA